TTCTCCTTCTTCTTCTCCTTCTTCTTCTCCTTCTTCTTCTCCTTCTTCTTCTCCTTCTTCTTCTCTTCTTCTTCTCTTCTTCTTCTCCTTCTTCTTCTCCTTCTTCTTCTCCTTCTTCTTCTCCTTCTTCTTCTCCTTCTTCTTCTCCTTCTTCTTCTCCTTCTTCTTCTCCTTTTCTTCTCCTTCTTCTTCTCCTTCTATCTTCTCCTTCTTCTTCTCCTTCTTCTTCTCCTTCTTCTTCTCCTTCTTCTTCTCCTTCTTCTTCTCCTTCTTCTTCTCCTTCTTCTTTCTCCTTCTTTTTCCTTCTTCTTCTCCTTCTTCTTCTCCTTCTTCTTCTCCTTCTTTCTTCTCCTGTCTTCTTCTCCTTCTTCTTCTCCTTCTTCTTCTCCTTCTTCTTCTCCTTCTTCTTCTCCTTCTTCTTCTCCTTCTTCTTCTCCTTCTTCTTCTCTTCTTCTTCTCCTTCTTCTTCTCCTTCTTCTTCTCCTTCTTCTTCTCCTTCTTCTTCTCCTTCTTCTTCTCCTTCTTCTTTTCTTTCTCCTTCTTCTTCTTCCTTCTTCTTCTCCTTCTTCTTCTCCTTCTTCTCTCCTTCTTCTTCTCCTTCTTCTTCTCCTTCTTCTTCTCCTTCTTCTTCTCCTTCTTCTTCTCCTTCTTCTTCTCCTTCTTCTTCTCCTTCTTCTTCTCCTTCTTCTTCTCCTTCTTCTTCTCCTTTTCTTCTCCTTCTTCTTCTCCTTCTTCTTCTCCTTCTTCTTTCTTCTTCTTCTCCTTCTTCTTCTCCTTCTTCTTCTCCTTCTTCTTCTCCTTCTTCTTCTCCTTCTTCTTCTCCTTTCTTCTTTCTCCTTCTTCTTTCCTTCTTCTTCTCCTTCTTCTTCTCCTTCTTCTTCTCCTTCTTCTTCTCCTTCTTCTTCTCCTTCTTCTTCTCCTTCTTCTTCTCCTTCTTCTTCTCCTTCTTCTTCTCCTTCTTCTTCTCCTTCTTCTTCTCCTTCTTCTTCTCCTTCTTCTTCTCCTTCTTCTTCTCCTTCTTCTTCTCTTCTTCTTCTCCTTCTTCTTTTCTCCTTCTTCTTCTCCTTCTTCTTCTCCTTCTTCTTCTCCTTCTTCTTCTCCTTCTTCTTTCTTCTCCTCTTCTCCTTCTTCTTCTCCTTCTTCTTCTCCTTCTTCTTCTCCTTCTTCTTCTCCTTCTTCTTCTCCTTCTTCTCTCTTCTTCTTCTCCTTCTTCTTCTCCTTCTTCTTCTCCTTCTTCTTCTCTTCTTCTTCTCCTTCTTCTTCTCCTTCTTCTTCTCCTTCTTCTTCTCCTCTTCTTCTCCTTCTTCTTCTCCTTCTTCTTCTCCTTCTTCTTCTCCTTCTTCTTCTCCTTCTTCTTCTCCTTCTTCTTCTCCTTCTTCTTCTCCTTCTTCTTCTCCTTCTTCTTCTCCTTCTTCTTCTCCTTCTTCTTCTCCTTCTTCTTCTCCTTCTTCTTCTCCTTCTTCTTCTCCTTCTTCTTCTCCTTCTTCTTCTCCTTCTTCTTCTCCTTCTCCTTCTTCTTCTCCTTCTTCTTCTCCTTCTTCTTCTCCTTCTTCTTCTCCTTTCTTCTTTCTCCTTCTTCTTCTCCTTCTCTTCTCTTCTTCTTCTCCTTCTTCTTCTCCTTCTTCTTCTCCTTCTTCTTCTCCTTCTTCTTCTCCTTCTTCTTCTCCTTCTTCTTCTCCTTCTTTTCTTCCTTCTTCTTCTCCTTCTTCTTCTCCTTCTTCTTCTCCTTCTTCTTCTCCTTCTTCTTCTCCTTCTTCTTCTCCTCTTCTTCTCCTTCTTCTTCTCCTTCTTCTTTCCTTCTTCTCCTTCTTCTTCTCCTTCTCTTCTCCTTCTTCTTCTCCTTCTTCTTCTCCTTCTTCTTCTCCTTCTTCTTCTCCTTCTTTCTTTCCTTCTTCTTCTCCTTCTTCTTCTCCTTCTTCTTTTCTCCTTCTTCTTCTCCTTCTTCTTCTCTTCTTCTTCTCCTTTTCTTCTCCTTCTTCTTCTCCTTCTTCTTTCTCCTTCTTCTTCTCCTTCTTCTTCTCCTTCTTCTTCTCCTT